AAATACCTTCCATCATAATCAACAAAAATATTTACTTCATATACACTTAAAATACCTATTGAATTTAAGAAGTTCGTTTAATATGCTATGGTATTTTCACACCCAGTCTTCTTTGATTCCACAGTCCAAACACATACGCTATAGGGGAACATATGCTGGAATAGTTGGCGGTTCATTCCACTGTGGTGACCCCTGGTAAATAAGGGACTAAGCCGAAGGAAAATTAATGAATGAATATTGGGCCTCATACTTTAATGATTTGTCTTTACAGTGGTTTTTAAAGTGTAAAATCTCCAGTATTCTGTGTCGTGACAGTGGTTGAGCTCGTCTGCATTTCCCTGAATAGACAGACTGGCATTATGTGGATATGTGGCTATAATGAGCCATCTGTCAAGATATATTGAAAATATAAGCTGCAGGAGAAGTACTGCTTCAGCATGTTCAGAACTTTCTCAGGCTTGTCAATATCTGCAGTTTCAGAGATTTAATTAATGTTATTTTTTCATATTCAGACTCATAACCCAGCGGACTAAATGGTGCATGAGCAAAAGCATATGAAATATTCACTGCTCAAATTCACTGGCATTCTGTATAGCGCATGTGTTTGGACTGTAGGGGAAACCGGAGAACCTGGTGAAAACCCACGCCAACATGGGGAGAACAGGCAAACTCCACACAGAATTGCCAACTGGCTTGAACCAGCGACCTTCTTGCTGTAAGGCAACAGTGCTAAACACTGAGCCACCATGCCGCCACTATGGGTACATATTAGATGTAAATTGTAAATGAATATTAAAGATAGATCTAAGTAAATAAATACAGTTATGTTTGCTAAAGCTGAAACAAAATAAAATACATTAGCTTAAACAGAAAATATAAATAAGTTAAATTATTTAAAATGAAACTAAAATGACAACTGGAAACATAAAAATAAAATAATTTAAATATTATTAAAATATTAGCAATGCATAGTATGATACTATTTTATATGTTGTATATTTAGTATGACCTTAATAAATGTTGCACCCTCTGTAATGTGTTCAAAATTGCTCTATTATTTAAATTTTTGATCGGTCGCTTAAAATATGAACCAAAAAGCTCTGCTCTGAGAGAATTAATGGAAGTGTTATGAATCAGCATAAGAGGATGCGAGTCTGTCTGATACAAGAGCAGTTCGGAGGACAGTTCAAGTGGCCAAAAAGATCTACAAAAGCCAACAATGACAAATCAACACAGATATTTCGAAAGGCTTTCAAGACTCCTCTGTCAAAGCAAAGTCAAGCATCTTGTTATTTAGTTAGATTTTTGAGCAAAAGTTCAAAGCTAAGTTAAATAATAAAGACAGTTTTTTTTTTCTGTAGACGTCTAAGGTGCCAGAACAGTATTAGTGGAGGACAGTTTTTTTTTTTTTTAAATAAATAAATACCAATGATATATACAGTAAAAAATATTTTTTGTTGCATGGGTGTTGGTTTAATATATATATTATATAACCGTTTATTAGGCAAAACTGCATTGTATTAGTCAAAATTATTGCCCGAATATGCCAAAAATTACCTGTCAAAACTGCCAAAGATTTTCTTCTATGATGAGATTTTGTAAAAGTCTTTCCAGAAATGTATCAAAACATAATTTTTGATCAGTAATGTGCAATTTGGACAACACATATTTTTCTATCCTAGCATGGATGGATGATAGATAGATAGATAGATAGATAGATAGATGGATGGATGGATGGATGGATGGAAGACAGACATAGATAGATAGATAGATAGATAGATAGATAGATAGATAGATAGATAGATAGATAG